AACCGACAGGTCCAGCTTGAGAGCTCTTCCTTCGACGGATTTTGCGTGACCTGGACGGCCAGTCCATCAACCGGAGCGTCGGAGTGTGCTATCTCTGTTCGGTTTAACTTCCTCTCAACTGATTTCAGCCACTCTAAAGGTGTGAAGGGTATTCCAGTCCGACTTTGCGCCAAAACACAGATGGTTTCTCCAGACAATGCAGATCCAGCGCAAGCTAAAGAGGCGGAAGTTTGCTATTGCAAAGTGAAACTATTTCGTGATCATGGTGCGGAGCGAAAACTGTCGAATGACGTTGCCCACGTTAAGAAGTCCATTGAGAAACTCAGACAGCAGATCGCTCAGGCTGAAATGGGAGCTGGCAACTACGGAAAGCGGAAGCGTAGCGGTGGCTCGATTGCGCTGAAAGGTGCCGACGCTCGCCCTACGAAGATCACAAAACACAAGCGGACATGGTCAATGGGCTCCCAAGATGGTGACAGATTGTCTATGGAAGATGATCTACATATCAAACTGGCTTTAATGCAAGAAATGTTCACATCTACCCGACCAGTGAGCATTCTTGGCTTGCAGGGTGACGAGCAGGACGACCCCGACCTTTACCCGGTTCAACTCCCCGAACCTCGTGATTTTGTCAAGAAGGAGGGCAAGAGTGGCCCTCGGTTCAGCATTGACGGATCAACTGGTTTATCGACCTTGTCCCCGACGAACAGTTGCATTTCGTTGAGCTCAACTTGCCATACCCCGACCGTTCAATCACAAACGGGCTTATATTATGATTCAGGCTATCAATGCTCGGTGAATACATCCGCAGAAAACTCACGACCCGGTTCCGAAGTTTGTGGAGACAAAGTTGTTTTGAAGCATCCCATAAAAATCCAGAGGGTGGCGAATGGAGACGGGGATATGCCCATGGGATTTATTGAGGCGGTGGATATCGATCCAACATATAGACCCCCGGCCGAACGCCAGCCCAAGCCCAGTAAGTAGCATGAAATAAAACATGCGTCATACTACCCTTGCTAACCATGGCTTAGTCGCATGCTTTTACATTCGATTCCCACGCAATGATCAAGCTAAAGATGATTATTACCGGGCTGTTTATTTGACAGAACGGACCGTCCGCGATTTGATGGAGAAGATCTCTGTCAAACAACGCATAGATCCACAGCGTATAGTGCGCGTGCTTCGAGTCAATAAAAATGGTCTGAAGATCATGGTTGATGACGATGTGGTTCGCGAGCTGCCTGATGGCCAAGACATGGTGGTCGAGATCTCCGAGGCCGCGGCTCTTGATAGCGCAACAGCCATCGATTCCGACAATATGAGCTCTGGTGTTGAGCTCAAGCTGAACTACTAACTCCTTTACTGGCCCATCCATGTCTTCTTAGAGGCCTTAGTCTGAAACGTTTAGTTTTCCATGTTTCATTTACTCTAACTCACGTTGGCAATGATAATTACTAAAGCAAAGCGGTCCTTTGCGGGCCTTCCTGTTTTTCTTATCGGCGCCTGGTGCGCATCAAACCGGCTCGATCTCTCACCATCATGTTAGGTCTTTAATACCTTCATTTATGTTCTTTATGTTCTCACTATTTCTTTTCCATTGGAGTTTCGGTTGTGAATTCTGTTGGGGGCGTTGGATACGGGGATAATACACGAATCTCCGAGCAATGATACCCTGTCGTTATATGAGTTTTTGATCATCTCGCGATTCTCACTTTCTTGTGCCATATTTACGATATCCTAAATCCTATCTGCACACGAATCATTTTTTTCCCCTTGCCTCTCACTCCTCTGTCTTTCCTTCTTTCCAGGCTGGTGGGAATACACGTCCACAAGCATTGTTATTGGTTTCATGACTTTGTTGTTCGAGGCGAACTGAATCAAGGGCTCAGCATACGATATAGATACCCTGTTCCGTTTATGTGATACTTGTGCATGATTATTTTGTTACACTTTGCAAAGCCTTATTTTTTCGTTTTTGAGCGTGAACTGGTTTGTCTGTTCAATGGGGTTTACGATCTAACTCCTATGTGTTACCATTCAATTTCTCAGCCGGCCTATGACCCTGTCATGATTTGTGCGGGAACGTGGCCGGCTCCTGTTGGCATGATATAATCTCTTCTGATGGAGTGTCTTGAACGAAGCAGTATCAACTATTGATCATATGAACCGCTCGGAAGCGGAAGATTGGGATATATTACGTGTTGTGCACCAAAGCCTAAGCTCAGAGTATACAGATCAACTAAAAAAAATAGTCGGGTTATTCAAAAGTTCATATGACAGGTGTGCTTCTGTTCTTTAATTTTTTTTTTTTTTACCTCCGAACATCTCCACCGACATAGTCCGAGTTGACTATTAGCGCATTATGCGGAAGATTCCTGAGTCACGTGTGAACGCTTCGCAAAGCGGCTGCATTAGCGGGCCGTGCTAGTCCCAGAGCGACTTTTCTATAAGCTTACCTAGCAGCGCTGGTCTTTTGATCTGGAACTAATATCAATATGAATCACGCATGCTCTATATGTTAATGCTATCTTCAAGGGTAAATGTACAGTACTTCAGGCCAGGATTTAAAATCGGGATGAAGGAGTACTACTACGGTTGCCGCGGTGCAGGGAAAATTATCCTAATGACCGACTGTTACTCCAATCGACGAGGTGTTGCTTTCCAATCTCCAAATTAGGTTGAGGAATCTAGAACCCGATCGTCTCCTTCAACATTCGTCGGGACGATCATACGCTTCGGGATCTGCTCTGGTGGCCCAAATTGGGAACTAAGCCGTGACCACATGGCCGAACCTTTTTAAGTTACTGCATGCAATGTCCATCTTGCCTGGATTGGGCCACAGCCACATTTCTATTATAGAAATTGGACAACGATAAGAGCCCCATACGAGGCGGAACTGTCGCTTCTGATAATTGAGAGGAAGTCTGCGATCCTACTTATTCCGTATCGAAGATTTGTTCAAGGTGTGTTCTTCAGGGGCCACACGTTATACCCTGGGGAAAATCGTGGACGATTGTTAGAACGGTAGGTAGTAGGTATGCGGAGAGTACCTGATTTCAAATCCCTAACCAATCATTGATTGCTAAATTGAGACATTATGAATCGTACTGAGGTATAGGTATCCACCTTCCAGGCCCTTCTTTCTATCAATAAATCCTCGATTTGATTCGTCCTTACATTCCTTTTGTCGATTTTTTTTAAGGAGGAGACGCGCAAGCTGGCCCATACGGTGCTGAATTCTTCTGCGCCAATTAACCTATTATCCAAGATTATTTGGATCAGGGGCACTTGAGGGTCTAGATCGGTTATCGTTTCCGTAAACGCATCTGGATAAAGGCACCCCTGGGGGTCTGACATCATAGCTACCATTCCATCACTCACAAATTTTCTTGGGGTACCTCGCAATGTCGTCATAATTTGGAACCGACTCGACAAATTTCCTTGGAAAAACGAATTAGCGGTATATTGGCGCGTGCTCCCCACTCGGGTCGTGCCGATGTGGGCCTGCAAACCTGTCCATGTAACAATCGCTAATTTAGCCTGGAACGGTTTTTTCCGTACATACGAGTGTACACCGTACGTATGGGCATACATAGCGACGGAAACTAGACGGTATACGGTATTCGTATTTCATAGCGTCCGTGTTTGCTCCTTATCCTGAACTACCTTGGTATGTGTTGCACCTGGGATATCGTTCAGAAAGTCAGAGAGATAGGAGTCTTATATGCAACCGCACATTCAATCAATTGGTATTCGCATCGTGCAATTGACTCGGGGATCTTTCCTTTCGTTCGAGTCCGTATCGCATCCATATCCTCGAACGGTTCACAGAGTAACAGCAGCTTGTTTTTCGCAGGACGCTCGTCTTGAAGTTGGCTCAATTAAGCTCATCCTAGCTTGAACCAGTGGCATTACGGGCGAATTACCCTGGGCTGGTAATGTACGGGACCCGAGGGTCTGGATGCCTAGTGGACAGGCCATTAACCCATTTTCTCCCTGTATATCATCAGAGACTGGGGTGATTGGCCGATCCTGACGTGCACAGGGCTAAGACTGGATGGGTTAGAGGCTCCCTACTGGGGTGGGAAGCACGTCTCGGTCGATCTAATCGACCTCACGTTAAGTGAGTGGCAACTCTGTGCACCGATGGTGGATACGATGCTCAGGGTGGCTTCGGCACCGTTCGAGGTGGAGGTAGAATCGCCGGATTTTCTGTCGGTTGAACGGGTTCTAGCCAGGACACACTCAGGGTCCAATGTTTTGCACAGTTGTTATGCACAAATAGTCCTGTGTTGGCGGGTTCAATTCCTTGGTGGCCGTTGAGGTCCACCTCCGATGAAGTTGTCCTATCAGTTCAAGCCCCCCAAATTGTTGCCTTAGACATCCATTCGCTTTCTAAATACAGTCTTTTCTTATACTCGAGCGTAGCTGGGGTTTTAAGATGGATATCTCATGGTTTATTCACCCTCTCGTGTGATACGTTGAGCCAAGCTTGTCTACATGTGTCACCATGTAACCCCAGCGTGGAAATCCCAGTAAATCCTCCCAATATCTGCTTTTGTTTAATTGAACATTTCCCCATCTTCAAGTAGTACATGGGCTCTTACTGTACTACCAGTATAAACACCACGAGGAATGCCCCTCAGATTTCAATTTCTGCTGCATATGCATATGCATACATATGTGTGTATGTTCAAGATGTACCCTGGAAGAACTTCACTTAGGTATCTGGCCCTCGCATTTGATACTATACTTAGTAGTATCAAACAGTGAATGTCAAGTCACATGGATTCAGGTCCGTCAATGCCAGCCAGTTCATGCCTTCCCTTCTGGGAAAAGTTTTCGTTGCACCCTCTTTCCAAGGCAAGAGGGTGTCACGGGCAACGCCTGACTCTCCCCCTCTTTCTCTTCTCTACTTGTCTGTCTTTCTCCCTCCTCTTCCCTTCTTCTCTAACTTATCTATCCACTTTACTCTTCACGCTCGCTTTCATCCATCGAGAATTTTTTTTTCTTATCTATACAGCTTTCTCTCTGAACCTTCCAGCTTTCATTTCCCAATTCTCTCCCAGCCTCGGCGTGCTTTGAAAGCTCTACCCACTCGAGATGGCTTCCAACTCGTCCTTCAAGCTTCTGATCTTCCTCACCATCTTGGTCCTCGCGGCCATCGTCCCCGCCTTGGGTCAGTATAACACAGCTACGGAGATCGCCAACAAACACACTACTCACATTGATAGATGTCATGGAGGATCTTGGCAATGTCTACGATGATGACCACCTGCTGGGCATTCCTACCTGTACGTTCTCTAGGTAACACCCAAAAGATGACGATATCTCTGATCACAGTGCACTCGCTAGTTGATGAACCTCGCGCCTTGGTCCCCCGCGCTGGTAAGTTTCCCAGCTCATGTCCTAGTTCCGGGCCTATCATTACTTATTTACATGCAATCACTAATCAAGCATTCTTCAGGATTCGTAACTGTTACTGTTACAGACACTGTGTGTGCTCCTCCACCCGTGGCTACCACTTCTCAAAGCACGGGTACCACTGGAGCTCCGGGTGCTCCGCCAGCCCCTTCTATGACCACCCTTTCTGAGACTACTGTGGTGACTGGTTCTGCTCCTACCGCCACTGGCCCAACTGGCACTGGTCCTACTGGTACTGGTCCTACTGGTATTGTTCCCACTGGTGCTGGTTCCACTATAGCTGGCCCTGTCATCACCGCGACTGGAACGACTCTATCGACTGGAACTCAAAGCGGTCCGGCTACTGGAACCGTTTCCACTAAGTCTTCTAGCGGGTCCATTACTGCTCACCCAACTAGCTCCCAGTCTACAGGGCAAGCTGGTACTACCGCCACTGCCAGTGGTACTCAAACTTCCACCGTTGCCCCGACTTCTAATGAAGCGGTTGCGCAGGGGAGACTGAGCAACATTTTGCTGGTCCTGGCAACAACTTTCATTGGCTTCCTAATGACCTAAGCGTCCATTGGCATTGTGGTACCGGGTAACTACTCATGACGTTGGTAATTTCATAGGGGTCTGGTGTTACAGGGTTGACTGTTTTCAGCAGTATCTGGGATGACTGACCATGGATTTCCTTGTCGTCTTGAGAAGGTCGCGTCGGAATCGTTTTTTTGTGGTTACAAGTTTGCTACGGGGTGCATTAGTGACTACACTCCCTGCTCCCATTAATATTAAGACGATCCATGTTTGTTTACGGAGCGGTCAGGTCCCGCCTAATCTAAAAGAGACTCTTGCAATTTTCATATTACTTGTACTGTAATTGGTACTACCATGGGTATCTCCTAAGAAACAAAAACTATACCGTCTGTAGTCGCGCCAGGGAGCTATGTAGCGGAACCAGCCGTCCTTCACCGACATCGATATTAACATGCACTAAGCATTTCCGCGAATGACACTTGTGGAAGTGTTCTGAGTAAAGCTTGTACTGAGAAACTGTCGATGCGTTTACGTATCAGTTTCTCCGATCGCTTCAATCTCCTTCGTAAGAGCACAAATTCGGCAACCATCGCCAATCCGATCCCGGAGAAGCCGAGCAGTGGTGACCTTGGGACCAACCGTCCGGGATGTGGACATCGAGGGCTCGTCCAGCGTTGGGGTACGCGGTTGCCGGAACGACTTTGGAGTTTGAGTAGCCGACCGACTTTCCGGCGTGGTTTCACCGGAGGGTTCAGTTGCATGAATGTGGGAAAGATGGAAGATATGTCCGCAAGCGAACCCAACGAGAATCTCCTTCTCTGCCAGTTGAATAACCGTTAGTTTCAAGATCCAGGAAAGCAAGCGACCGAAGAAAGGAATAAGAACAACGACCACAAGTTAAAAAAAAAACAAAAGATCACACTTACCATTGGCATGGAAAGGAAGTTGACAACCTGCACATCTCCCGACTTGCGTTGGAGTATGTGGTGGTACCGAAGTCTTTTCAGTGCCGGCGTCACTCTTCGCTTCGTCTTTCTCGGTCACCCCAGAAAGGGTAGCTGCTGCTGATGACGTTGGACGCTTTTCTTCTTCAATGACATTGAACTTGATGCCTCGTCGCTGGCCTCGGCGTAATGTGTCCATGCCTACTGCAACCTCGCTTTGGAGCACCTTGGCGGCGCCTTGACTGATACTTGCCTGGAGATCGTGTTCTCGGATCAAGTGCGACAGGCCTTCGCGCAGGCCTTCGATTTCTAGTCCGCTGGGGATACGTCGGACGAGTTTGATCGGGTCGATGGCCGTACCGGCTTCCACCAGGAGACCGTGGATGAAACGCGGTTTGTCCATTGAGTAGTCGAGGAGGTCCTCCCAGAGGTCTGGTTCGCCTTGGGACTTGGCGAATGAGATGGCTTGTGATACATCCTTTAGTTCGGAGAGGATGAGGTTCAGGGCTCGCTTTGTTTGGCCCATCTTTGATAGGAGGTAGATGAGCTCGGGCGTAAAGCGGCGGCCTTCGCATATAGTGACTGCCAAGTCGAAGGTGTATGCGGTGCTAGTTTGCAGGAACTCCATCAGCAATGTACGGTCGTAGTTTGCAAAAAGCTCCACCGCTGTATCAGCGAAAGTGTCAACCAGTGCTTTTCCTTCGTCGGCTGCCAATTTGCTCGCTGCGTCCCGGATGTGGGCGAAATGGCCCCTTCGGGGTTTAGAAGCGCCATGGGGTAGAGACTCTCCTCGCCAAAGAGCCCGCAGATAGAAATAAAGGAATAGGAGCCGGTTTGCTGCTTTCAGCTGGTTGACGACGGTCTCTGGACGGACGATTCCTGTATATGCTTCGCTCACGAGGAGCTTGATGGGCTCTACTGTGAGCTCCTCCAGCTCAGATTTGGGCGCTGACTTGAGCTGCTCCTTGGACACACGGATCATGATGAATGCCGGGATATCGTCGGAGACTGCATCCAGTAAACGATGCTCTCTTGTCAACGCCATCGCCGTGTCCGCATCTTGCAGCCGGACATAGCAACGTAACGCTTCACCATAGTGACCACCGGCTAGATACAGCTTGGCGAGAGAATTCATCAAGATGCGCCACTCATCTGAATCGGGTACTATTGAGCCTGATTCAAGTTGCTCTTTAATAATCGATATAATTCCTGCGACATCGAACAGGTCGAACGGCCAGGAGTCTATGAGCTCACTAAACCGATGTCTGTCCTGCATGACATAATGCCCAAGGATGGTTTCATAGATTGCTGAAGATAGGGGCGGGTGCATATCGGTTGGAATGACAGGTGATATCTCATCCAGCTTCTCGCGCTTTATGAAAGTCCAAGCCCAATGTTCCCAACGTGGCGCGGTATGAAGTGCTTTTATACAAACCTCGGCCGCCTCCTTCCAGTTATCCGCCTCAATTAACTGCTGTATCCATAGCTCACCAATACGGCGCTTTTCTTGCTCAGCAGCGGAGATGACTCCTCGACCGGTGGTTGTCGTAGAAGACCTGTCATCTGCCAAGAATTCGCCCAGGGTAGTTGGAGCTCTTGCCAAAGGAACAAACATGGTATCGCTCTGTTCACTTGCAGATCCTGCTGCCTCGGGATGCTCATCGATGAGCTTCCATGCTTCCTCGTATTTCTCGTGTGCGTCCAGCCATGCCAGGCGATCTGCAAGATCTCTCTTCAATGCAACGACACAATCATACGGACTATGTATGAAGATCTTGGCCCCCACATTCCCTGAGATATCTTGTATCTCTTTCGATAAGGGCTCCTCTACAGATATCCGTCGGGAGGTATAGGTGCTGGGAGCTTTACTAGACCCTTTGTCGCCGCTGCTAGTTGAACTGCGAATACTGGCACCCGAGCTGAACAAGCGTGCAGGGTACATAGTTGCATCCCAAAGGCCACTCCCGAGAGCTTCCAGTGCACCTCTTTGTGAAACGGATACAGTTGTCTTCCAGGGAGGTAGAACACACATATGATAGTCGGAAGACGTGAGATTCTCGTATCGGCTGACTGAAAGTGTATCCGCACTGAGCTCTTCTTTGGTTTCAATATCGATTATCCGAAGCTCAGGCTCCAATCCCCTGGGGCGATGGCGTCCTTTGGGATGAAGGACTCCGTGTTTGGACCGTTCATTCCCTGAAGCATCCCCTGAAGCCTCGATGTAGGCGAGGACCACCAAAAGGCTGGGAGTATACAATGAGATTCCAGATATAATACAGTCGGTCCGCAATCTGAAGATCGGTTAGAGATCGGACAACCTCCAGTACTTTAAAGACTTACATTGTAGAGACCTCTACAGATCCAATTCTTTGGTCTCTGTTGTTCTTGCTTGGTCGATCAGGATAAACTTCAATTACCCATACCGTACCACCCCAACCCACTACCAACTTCTCTATCCTTTCCTTGGCGGGTGTAACGGTTGAGTGGTCGCGGAGTGATGTCTCCTCGCTATCAAGAGCAGTGTCGTCAACCCATTCAGCGCGAGCCTTCCAAACACTAGACATTTCTTCCCATCCAGGACGGTTGGGGCGATCGATGTGGCTGATGCGTTTCCAGGCATATTCTGAGTCAGACGAATCCAAGTGAAGGTTTGATCGCATGATTTTGATTCCTTCTTCATTGACCCAGACAACAAATTTACCAGACAATGACCATTTTATCGTGCTAATGGCTCCTTCACCACTATGTAATATGGTATCCTTGCCTGTGTTGCTCCCGAGGCCAATAGAGCCAAGCCAGCTCGTAGCTGCAGCTGCAGCACCCCCCATCGTTGTCGAATTCGTACTTGCACCCACTCGGCCACCTGTAGTGAGGATCAGGTCACCTGCCCGGCCACCGGATAAGAATGTCCTGTCACTCTTGTATTCTGGTGATAGTGCGACAGCTTGTACAGGCCGACCAAAGTTGCGTAAGAGGACGTCTTTGGGATCCACAAGAGACGCAACGCACACATTACCATCTATCGAAGACGTCGCTATATATATCGAGTTCGAGGGCGTAGAGGAGAGCGCTGGGGGGTTGTTCGGCCTTGGCCTGCCCCTAAGGCTGGAAGCGCCGGAAGATGGTCTGGAGTAGTGCTCCTGCGCTTCATGAAGCCTAATGCTGTCGGGCTTGGTGTTCGGTAACGGTGGAGGGAATGGCGAGACCGATATTGAAGTGACGCTAGCAGAGTGTGCATGGTAAACGCGGAGAGATTGGAACAGAGGTAGTGACAACGCATGCTGTGGAATGTTAGTTGCGGAGCGTACGAGTTGGCAGTCGGGCAACATACGATATTACCATTATGCGTTCCAATTATCTAAACAAATTCTCAGCTTCAGCTAGCATTCTCATATTCACAGATATCATACCATCTTGTCTCCAGCAGCGAGGAAGGAGCTCGTTGCATCCCCGTTGCGGTACACCGCTCCCAAATGCTTCGTCAAGTAGGCATATTTCAGGTGTGGCTCCTCTTCGTCCTCGTCGTCCTCGTCCTCTTCCTCTTCGCTATCGTCCTCAGGCTCATTGTCACTTTGGTCCTCATCCTCGTGGTCCTCGTGCTTGTGCTCGTTTCCTGCCAATTGATCCGGGTGATCGGAGTGGGTACTGGACTCGTGAGTGTTTTGCCCGGCGGATATCTCCAAGTCGGAACCATCCTGGCGGGCACCATCTGTCGCCTCAGTCGCGCCAGGCGCGTCCATGGCGAGAGCCTTTACCGTACTTGATAGAGCTATGCTGAAGTGTCACCGATGCAAGAAAGCATGCCCGGATGTTGGGGTATGTCGGAGGACCGGTTACTAAGCAGGACCTCTAAGTAGCTAACTAATTTCAGGTTAGCTCCAGTTACATCACCAAATTGAACCCGCTCTTTTACTTCCGCAAAACGGCCGCGATCCTTTCCAGATCTTCAACGGCCAAACCGTATTTGCCATGGCACTAGAGCTCAGTTAATTATTGCCTTAATTATTCTAATCTCTTCTTTGTCAACGTTTCCATTTCTTTCAATTGCGTAAATGTTTGCAAAACCTTTCGTTGGCTCCATTTGCAAAAGACCCGCAGTGACCAGGCTTGTGAAACAGCCCCGGAGCCAATATCTTCATGCCACATCACCGTTCAGCCTTCCTCGACGCAAGGACTTCTTCTCGTCCAATGCGTACCTTGCTCAGAAACAATCAAAAACCGGAGATGTGAGCGAGGAGCCGGGGCAAGAATTCCAGAAGCAACGGAGAAGAGGAGGTAGATCGCCGGCAGCGCCAACCTCGTTACGGAGAGTCGCGGTTGAGGCACAAAGATCAAAAGATGGGTTTCTCTCCAAGGCCATGCTCAAAGAGCAAGGGCTCTATCAAACCAAGGTTTTAGCTCTCGCGCCTCGACGGTAATCTCAATTGCTGATTTTTGATTCTTGAGCGACAGGTAGTGACGGCGTATGCGGTGGCCGAACAATTCAACATCCGGAAAGTGCGGGAAATTCTCCAAGAAAAAGGCTATGAGCCAGATCCCTTCGATACTGGCCTATACCCCCAGGTGGTACATGTTCAGGTCCCTCTAGATTCCATTCGCCGCGTGAGCAACCCGGCCACCACAGACTTGGCTCCCAACGAAGTTGGCGATATCTTCGTTTTCCCGTCCGGTACCGTTGTGGCGTGGTCTCTGCCAGAAGGCTTTACATCTTTCCTCGCAACTAGAACGTTACTCCCTGCAGCCGAAAGACCTCATCTTGATAATTTAGAGACGGAAGATCTCGAGTATGTGGAAGATTCGCAACGAGATAGCAGCAGCATAAAGGGCGATACCATCATCCTAGGCACCAAACCAAGCAGCAATGGAGCAAGCCCGCAGCTTGATCGACAACCTGTGGACACGGTCCTAACTAAAGTGGCATTTTCCTCCGGGCTGGCTCGGAGCACAAAATTGGCAGTGTTGGAAACGCTCCTGTCGAATTATTTCGAATCAACTAGATCGATACCTACACTACTGTCACAAGGATCTCGCCTTCCATTTACAAGAGATTTTATCCTTCGAAAGACGGGGCAGTTATTGAGCGTACGCGCCCAGTTGAATCTCTATTCAGAGCTCACGGACTCCTTGCCGGACCTCTTCTGGGATAGCCGGCATGAACTTGGGTTGGAAGGATACTACGAACAGGTGGGAAGAGCGTTGGATGTCGGAATTCGGATCAAGCTCCTGAATGAAAAGATGGATTATGCGCAGGAAATAGCAAGCGTCCTCCGGGAGAGGCTGAGTGAGACACACGGACTTCGGCTTGAATGGATCATCATCCTCCTCATCGCAGTGGAAGTCTGCTTTGAGGTTTTGAGAATGTGGAAAGAGCGAGTCCATGAGCAAGAAGTGCAAAAAGAAAAGGCTATAGATGCGGTGAGGTCTTGATAGCCTGTAAATGTGTGTGTATGTATATATATAAACGACCTAGTCTTACATGATACCCCTCTCATTCTTTCCGATGAACTGCAAACTTGAGTTTATATATATAGAAAATAATCTAGTTATATGGTTAGGATCAGCTTTGGTCCGTACTGGTATATTGAGACAGAAGTCCTTACATATCGATGCCGGCGCCCAAACACGGCAGGATAAAGATGCAAGGGACATTTGCTATGTTTGATGGATGGTACCAAGTATAAGAAAATGGGAAAGAAAAAAGAAACCATTGAAAGAAGCGCCGGGGACCAAAATAGCAGTCAGGTCATGAGAGTTGGTTATCTTCGATAGCTTCTCCGCAGCTTAGCTCAGTTAAGGTTATCTAGCTTCATTAGTCTATCAGCTGACGGGTCACATGTGGCGATCCAACTTAGTCATCGGTCATAGGATCACGGGGTACGACGTCTATCTCGAGCTATCTAATTGATGTCTGGATCATCTATTTCTCCTATAAATCCAATCGAGTAAATTGCGACAGATACTTGGCTTAGTTCTAACCCCCAAGTCCCTTAGAGGAAGGAAGCCGGAGCGCGGAATACACCACCTTCCCTACTAGCCCTAGTATATTGCCAGGATGCTCCAAGGGATCCCAGGACCACAGCAGGTGCTAACCGCCTTGACGGGGTCCTTGGGACTTTCAAGTCTCCTTGGACCCGAGATTGAATCTTCACAGAGCAGCTTTCAACACTGCTCTAAGCCTGAGCTGAGCTGCCAAACTCCGTATCATGGCCAAAACAAATGCTGCTTCAATTATCCCGGGGGGCAGTTCCTTCAATCGCAGTTTTGGGACGCCGACCCTGCCATTGGACCGGAGGATTCCTGGACCATCCACGGCTTATGGTGAGTTTCTTACAAGGAGAACTAATACTTGTAAGTGGGACACTGATTCCCAGCTTTATTTAGGCCTGATTACTGTAATGGAGGTTACCCTCAATTCTGCGATTCAAAAAGGCGGTATAGCAACATCTCCCTGATCTTGACTGACTCAGGTAGAGGGGATCTTCTGGATGAGATGCGTACCCTCTGGAAAGACTGGAAGGGCGATGACCCGACTTTGTGGGAACATGAATGGAACAAGCACGGCACCTGCATCAGTACCCTAGAGCCTCACTGTTACGACATATACTACCCGCAACAGGATGTGGTAGACTACTTTGACAAGACAGTGGAGCTCTTCCACGGATTGCCTACACACGAAGTTCGTGCTCCTGCATTACTTTTTGATTCCGTGTCGCACCAACGCGCCTAGATCACTAATCTTTTACTAGATCCTTGCTGGTGCTGGGATTGTCCCTTCATACACGGAGACCTACTCCCTGAGCGAGATTCATGACGCTCTAGTGAAGGCTCACGGGGCCGAAGTTGTCGTTAGATGTCGCCACCAGAACCTGAACGAGGCTTGGTATTTCTTCAATGTCGCCGGACCATTGCAAACAGGCAAATTTGTCCCAACTAACCCAGGTTTGCTCCCCAGGTTCTGTTTCTTCTAATCAGAAAGGTATACGATGTCTAACTGCCAGTACTAGATGGCCAAACGTCAAATTGCCCTTCCAAGGGCATCCGGTATCAGCCAAAAACACCTCGAAAAGATGAACCAACCAAAACACGAAGACCATCGGAGCCAACAAATACCGGTACACCGAACTCAAAACGAGGGAACCTGGTCGTCTCAACACAAGGCCAACAAAGGGGTTGTATCATCAGCCGCGGAGCCTGGTTCACATCAGGGACTTGCGCAACATTCCGAATTGAAAAGACTTCTGGTTCGTCCTTAGATCTTTGCTGTGCTTGTAATTGCAGTTTTCCCGAAAAGGTGCTAACAATATATACCTCATAGATGAGACATTCACATTGCAGTCCAGTAAGGGCAAGTGTTCTTTTCAAAAAGATACATTCAGCTGTGGTCCTCAGATCAAGAACGCAGTTGAATTCAGTGTAAGTTTTGGATCCGCTATATCCATTCCTCAACCCAATTCTTACATTTCTTCTAGATTCAGGATGGCAAGCTCTCTTACCGGGGAAATACGACCTTCTTTGCAGATAAGGCACCTAAAGGCCCTACAAAGAGCAAAATCTATGCGACGCAAGAGGAACATCCGATTGAGCTGACCATAACGTGGAGAGGAAGTCATTAATTTCTCGTATCTTCGTGTTTGTGGTCTGTATTGCCTGATGTGACTGTGTATTATTTGTGTTGTACTGCTTAGGCATGGTTTATAGAATCCTATAGATTGAATACTGAAACATAGAATGTTTCCAGACTTGCAATAACCGAATTACTTTTTATATGTGGATCTCTTTTTTTTTTTTTTTTTTTTTTTTTTTTTTTTTTTTTTTTTTTTTTTTTTTTTTTTTTTTATTCAGTGGATCTATTGCAGGCCTAAAGTACAGGTGGGCATGGCCACCAAGAACGACGACGTATCCAGCAGCAAACAGTTCATACCCATTTAGTACAGTCTTCGAGTCTTAAAAAGCAAATCACATGAACGTCATATAAACTCGTGAATAAAAAGAACGAAGGAATATAGGGCGTGAAGCATAACAAAGGAAAGGATGACCTGCAGAACTCCGTATAAATTGTCCAAAGTTGTTCCCGCAAGTCCCAGAAGTTGTCGTACATGTGTCGCTGAGCAAGTCACATAAAAAGCAAAATGAAAATGTAACCACATTGAGAGAAAAAGAAAGAAAGATCGAAATGCCCGAAAAGTTCTGTCACAAAGGTCGTTGATAGTGGAAGTTGATCATTGGAAAGTTTTGATGAGTCATAAATTGTACATAGTTTCGTCGTGCCATTTTTGAGAGTTGGTTTGTCATATGCAAGGTTTCCGGTCGTCTATATCTCAGTCATGAAAGTTGCTCACATTCACCATTAGTCAAGTGTCGTTGCGTCGTCAGTCTCCATCCATGTTTTTTCGTGTCTATAAGTTGTCGTCTGCGAGTCCTTCATTCCAAGAAGAATTCCCTTGTCATAACGTCCGATGGTTGCTCGTCCATTTGGAATTGGAAAGAAAAGAAATCGTCACCCATTGAGGGACCGGTAGAGAAACCTTTGCCTTGAAACAAATCCATGCCGTTGTCAAAAGCGGGACCGTTCACATAATCAGGAAATGCCGCCATGTCGGGATCAGTCAAGCCAGGGAACTCGTGCTTGCTGAAGCTTGTAGATGGATCTTGGTTGATGAAGATGTCTAGGTCTGAGCCATTTGAGGAGTCGGTCAGAGTGGGTGCGGTGTGTGGAGAAGACAGGACATGAACCGTCGAGCTTGTAGCATTTGTGTAGGGGCAGGCTTCAGGGTCCGAAATTAGAGGTAGACTGGACTCCTCGATGATTCTTTCTAAGGGTCGTTTGGATGGAGACAAAGGTGGCATTTCGTCCTCCGTGCTGGGTGTGATCGACCGCTGACTGTGGGCAGGTGATGGCCTGTTTCGTATGCTACCTCCAGGGGAGGCAGGAGGGGTGAAAGTCAGGACCTCCGGGGGTAATGAATAATTAACATTGCCAAACATCTGCATCTCTCCCACCGGACTAGAACCCTGAAGGCTCATGTTTTCGAAGACGTCTGAGGGCGGCGAATTGCGCGAGGTGTCTGATCCAGAAGAGTCAAACGAGGACTTTTCGGCGATTCTCTGGCGCGTCCTGGAGGACTTCTCTTGTCTCTCATCCATTTCAGGCCGGTGCTTTCTCGGACGACCGCGTTTGGTGGTCTTGCGCACAATGCCCTTGTAGCCGCCAATACACATGCCCCGTTGCCGATGCCGAGTCAAAGCATCATGTCGGGCGAACACATTACCGCAGAGGCATTCATATGGTTTATCACCGGTGTGTATCTTGGCGTGGCGCTTAAGATCGTGTCCGCGGACGAAGCATTTATCGCAGTGACCACACTTGTATTGACGATCTCCAAGGTGTGTTTGGACATGGGACTTGATGTTCTCTTTCCTTCCAAACCGACGTTCGCAACCGGGGTGTAGGCATACCCATTTTCCATCTTCTGGGTCAGGACCATGGATGTATGACGCTATCTCGTCAATGGTGACACCGGTTTCTTTGATAGAGGCATTGACCCTGGCGTCAAGATTGAGGCTGTCGATAGATGCTACCCTCGGAGAAAGTTTGGGTTTGGCCGAGCTAGGGGGAGCACTTGGTGTCTTCTTTGAAGCCATACGGCTAGGCGTTGCAGGGTAAATAGGCATCTTCTGCGCCTTCCCACTGCCCGCAAGATGCGGCATGGAGGCAAGGTCTGATGAGGAGTTGAAAGGGGATGTAGCTGACGACGACGTTGAAGAGTGGTTAGATGAAAAACTTTCAGACTTTGAAATTTCGAAACTGGAACCCTGCTGGCAGTCAAACATATCGAAACTATCCACTTCAAAGGAGGCTGTATTGGGGGGGGAGGGCATATCAATCTTTTGCTGGGAGAAGGTCGTCCCAGCCACTCCTTGGAGAGACTTAGCACGTTGCATGTACGACGGCTGGGTTGAAACGGGAACAGACAATCTCTGCTCCTTGGTAGGGGTTGGCTGCATGTCGCCACCATACTGCGCAAGATCCACTGTTTTCTTGAATGGTGTTGTCGCAGGGGTAATTGGAAGGTAGTCTTCAAGTTTCATCAGTGGGGTTTACCTCCTGTGAGTAATATCAGGGTACTTACGCGTAGGTTTCGGCGTATGTGGTCTTTGCGCGGGACTGACATCAGACTGCACTGATAATCGTCTCATATCTGCAGGGATTGCATTGGTCTGGTGCGGAAGTCCCGTTGTGAGGTTATCGTGTGGGTAGAAATCCCAAGCGCCATTCTCCATGAGCTGGGCTTGCTGCAACTGCTGTTGCTGGATTAGATTGAGATGGAGGTTCATCGGCCGATTTTCCAGCCCCGGGGCCTCGGCCTTGGCGAAGGCTGGGTTCATGTATCCCATACTTGGTTGGGTTTGCAATTCTTCAGGACTGAAAGTCTGGCACTCAGGCATCATGGTCATGGGTGTCGGTTGCGCCGAACGAGCATAGTGTTGCTGTTGCATTACCAGGGGACCTGCTGCGTTAGTATTTAAAAGGTTACCATCTTGCACGGTCTGCGATCGTTGCATGTGTAGAGATCTCTGGTCTAGACTCTGGCCGCGACGGTGAGCATGGTATCGGTGCATTGCCTGTGCAGGAAGACTGGGGACTTTTGCGGCATCAAGAGCGGAAGGTGTTGAGATCTGCCGCCGATGTTGTCGATGTCGTTCCTGTAGATTGCGATGTGGGTTCGATAACATGGTGGGCAAAGTCTGTGAGCCACTCGTCACAAATCGGTGGCGGGCAATTGACAGATCTAATTCTATATGTAAGTCTTCCGGAAAGCTGTGCGCATATTGCATAAAACGTGGTCTGCATACCTCACGCAGCGCTAGTCGTACGATAGATGGTATCAAAACCGACCTGTCCACTGTGTCAGTCGGTGAACGCTTCAACAAAGAAGACGGATAAGGGAAAAAAGGGTTAGAAGGAGAGGAAGCTCAGAGGAAAGAGAACTATGAGGCTCTTCCGACTAGATCTGAAACTAAAGCGACAGCGAGATTGAAGCTTCACTAAGGCTTCCCTGCGCGATTCATGGACCTCTGGTTCTGAGAGGAAGAGGACCAAGGGCAAGAGGAAGTATTTAGAGGTGGGAACCAGGGAAAAGTGGATGGAGAAGCTGAAGCTATCCCGATCTATCGTCCACGGTTCAGATCAACAATGGCGCAGTTGGCCCAGCAACGCACCCGGGCTGAGGCGTCGGGGAAACCAGCGCCCTTGGCATGGGGCCGTCCATTTGCGCTGCGTAGTGGATCGCCGGCGCTGCGCCTTGGTTCGAGCACGGAGAATATCGAACGAAAAAGTGGCCCAAACGCAATTAAGGCTGCGATCCGGCAGGTTAGTTACTCCTGCAAGGAGCTCGTTTCTGGTTCCCCCTCGCGGTCCAGAGTCCAGACAAACACCCTATATTAATTTTCGACGTCGCCTCCTCTGCTTGAAGAAAATGCACCCTGTCGCCTGTGAGGGTTCAAGACACTATCGCTTCATGATACTCCCTTCCTTTGCAATAGCCTGGATAATAATTGACGCCAATCATGAAACCATTTGATCAATAATTAGCAACTGGCGAAGGGATGGATAATGACGATGACGATTGACTTCGATGGCCTTCCAATCTCGATTGAGCGGGTGGTTCCCAGAACGGGTCGATCATTTTCGTCGCCTGCGCTTCCAGGCATCAAGTGTGACGTAAGCTGGCCTGTCGCCGCGAACCGAACGCAGGCTGAACTTAGTACATCATTTTACAGATACAAATCAATCTTTACTTTTACTACTACTATTACATATGTACAGACCAGTTCTTAACTAGACTACTTTGTAGTTAAGAACTAGTTTAAAGATATATAATTTATCACTCCATATAACGATGAAACGGTTCGGCGGTGGCCGAAAAGGGCTACTTTTGCGACCGTTTTATAAAGGCTAGTTATTATCCAAACCTTTATGTCCATCGTTTCCTGAGCCATATGAGCATAGCTTCTGACTCCTACAACTTCTCGTCTACAACCGCTTCCTCCCTCCCCGAATATTCATGGATAACAGCCTTCCTGGTTCAACCTATATCCGAGAGAGAGAGAGAGAGAGAGAGAGATCGCCTCCATTGGCATTTAAAACAGCCGCCAAGCAACAATGAAATAGCCTGCGTACATATATCCAAATCAACCAGATATGTCTAAACGGGTAGCCTTCAGAGCCTGGGACTATAAGCAATTTATACACGGATAACCAGCTCCTAATAAAGTGATCCCAAAATTAGGTAATTATAACTTTGATTTGCCAGAACTGGGACACTCCACTGTAGATAGAGATCAGACTCCATGCATGCACTCTGCAGACTGCGGGCTCCAGGATAAACAACGTTCTTAGAAGATAGTATAGCGCCTCATTAGCAGAAAAAGACAAGGCTGTGGGGGGAGAGAAACCCATGTTCTTGAATACACACTCCTGACTTGGAGGTCATGACATGTTGAACCATATCTTATGTTCCTTGGGGTTCGTCTACTCTGGAGAATTGTAAAATGATACAATTTTTCGCGCCAATACTTTAAAAAATGACTTATGAATGCACATGTACTGTCCTAGATAAGTTGTAGACAGTGTATATGTTTAATTCTCATTCGTACCTATCCCAGCCGCTACACTGAAAAGAAAACAGGAATCATGTACTCTGCACATACAGTAGCATATATCTTAGACCTTGTCTTATCATCTTTGCCTAGACCCAAGCCTTAGTGGCATCGTGAACCGACTGTTCCAGACTTGTCCAAGCAGGGAGACCCGAAATTCTCTTCAGAAGTTCCTCGGCCCTCTGGTTGGCAACAATGCTCTTATCTTCACCAATGTTAGGGATATCGTCGATGAACTTCTGCTGTGGGTACAGCCGGCGTAGAATAGCGAGAATATCATTCCACGAATAGGGGTGAGCAAATGCAAAGAGTCGCTCACTCTTCACATCTGGGTAAATAAGGGCAGCGACGTGCACACGTGCGTCATCCTGGACATTGATATAGTACTGTGGCGGGTTGTACTTAAGCCCCTGCCCTTCTTCGCCGGGGAATCCATCCCAGACCGCCTTAATCCAACCATCAGTACTGGGGTAACCCTGATTCTTCGGAGAGAGAATAGTGCCCATATTGGCATTCGGGAGTACAGTGTTAAGGACAAAGTTTGGCTTCTTGTCCTCCATGAACTTCCACGCGGCTTGTTCAGCTTGTGTTTTACTGGCGGAGTAGACATCCAGGCGTCGCTGCGATCCTTCGTAAGGCGGTGGTGCCCAAGCATCCTTGACAGCTGTTTCGTTCCAAGTTTTCTCGTCCATGGTGAACACTTTGTTTGGCTGCGGGCTAGCGGCTGCCGTGGAGGATGAAGTGATAACAACCCGTCGTACCGAGGGCTCAGCAGCGGCGGAGGCCAATATGTTGACAGTTCCGTTGACAACCATCGGGACGGCGATATTAGGGTCGTAAAACTGCATCACAGGTGTTGCCACATGGGCGATACCGGCCGCGCCTTTGACAACCTCGTCGAATGCACCATCATGGGACATATCGGGAACCTCGGCGAGGGAGAATCGTCCAGGGCCATACTTTTCACCGAAATAGTCATTCAACCACGAGTTTTTCGCAACATTTCTCACGGTACCCCGCACATTGTACCCGTGTTCAAGTAGCTGATCGACCACATGGCTGGCGATAAAGCCATTCGCTCCCGTCACGACGACAAGGGAGCCCTTTGGAATAGCCAGGGGAGCAGTAGTAGACATGATCGTAAGCGTTGGGAAGCACTGATGTAGTCTGAGGGACAGAGGAAGATTGATGTTCGATTCAACATGCGGCAGGATACATTGATATTTATATATACCTTTCGCTCTATAGCACTCATCCGGCTTTTGTCATCAGGGTCCAGGGAACATCATTGATCATTGAGTACGTAAGAATTAACAATTTTAGTCAGCGAAATGGAAGGTTGGTATACTTTCAGGTTATAACGTTAATCAACCTAGCCGCAAGCAGAAATAGTACAAGAATCGATTTTCGATGGGAAACTCTATCGAGGAAATGCTACCATGAACCCGGGCCCCTGTGGGGCTTGTGGCCGCTTGCCATCCGGGGTGAATCCAACCCGATAAAAGTCTCCGATGAGCTCAAAGGTTTAGTAATTAATTGCTCATCTTCCAAAGACCGTACTAAATACCGATAAATAGAGGTAAATACTAAAGCATTCCATGTCATGGAACCCCTACGATTATTCACTCTCTTGCTTCCAGATCTTGATAATAAAAAAAAAAAAAAAAAGAAAAGAAAAGAAGAAAAAGGTCCATAATACGTAAACTTTGTGCTTATTTCCAATATAATATTCAGTAGGATTTAACATAAAAGTATAGTACAGTCTGTTCACGATCAAGGAACGATCTGGTCCTTGAGCAACTCAAAACCTTGGGCAACACCAACAACCCTATCTTTGACGCCGAGCTCCTCCAAGGTGACGGTCTCCTCGGGGTAGAACTTGTTCCAATCCGGGTACTGCTCGCTAAACCGCAGCTGGCTGGCTATCTCTGGGCCAAATAGGGGGCCATATACCTTGGCCGCCTCTGAATCGGTCAACTCGGCATACACTGCCGTCTTTCCAGTAGCTTTGCTCCATTCCTCTGCGAGCTGGGTCCAGGAGATAAGGTCGGTGATAATGGGTACGTACTTCTCATACGTTTTCTCTGGCTGGGATAGAATTGCCTGAACCACAATGCCAGTGTTCGTCGCCACAATTCCGCCGCAAGGAGCAATCGCGTCAGCCTTTGAAGCTTGGGCCATAATGTAGTTGCCCAAGAATGGTTGGGGTTGCATTGAGGGCTGATTGGCAAAGTTATCCAAATAGAATCCTGCCCATACAAACGTCGTCTTCGCTGCCAGTTGCGGTAGCGATGTCTTGACATAATCGGCACCCCTGGCCTTCGCATCCCAATGTGGGCATGGCAGCTTCCCCCCTGAGAGTTTGTCGCAGGATGGCAGAACGCTGAGGACTAAGTGTTTGAGGGTCGGGATTTGGGCGGCTGAGTCCGCAATGTTGATGAGGTGCTGAAGCTCTACCTTCTGTGCCGTGTCGATGCCACCCTGGAATACGGGAGTCCAGAAATCAGACACTGCGAAGATAGCAGTAGCGCCGTTGAAGGCTGCCTGTAGGGACCCGACATCATTCAGATCGGCAGCAACCACTTCAACCCCTATAGCCTCAAGTGCTTTGGCCTTGGCGCTAGATGCGTCGCGAGTAAGACCTCGTACTTTCCATGAGGGATCTTTGGCCAGGAGACGAGCAACTGAGCCACCTTGGGTGCCAGTAGCGCCAACAATGACAGCCAGAGACATAGTGTACGAAGTGATGATAGCCTGGTGAGAAGTGATGTGACAACTGTGACGAGAGAAACGTTGGTCGTAGCGAATGTGACTATGTCTTGGGACCCTCCTCTTGATATTTATCTTTCCCAGTGGGATCCAGAAGTCAAATAAAGTCACTGGGATAGTATGTACATGCCCGCCCCACAGTCGGCCATACTGTTAGTCAGCGGAACTCCCAAATCATCGGCCATCCGAAGTCCGACTATAGACATCATAAATACGGAGTAAATGTAGCTATGTTCCTCTCATGTGCGAGATTTTGGGTACACGATGCGTCTTTCGAATCATAGTGGGGGTTCTTGTGGGCTTTCCTGAGGCGGTCCAGAATGCTGACTAAAGCTGACTAGTCCCCCAAACAAACCATGAACGCAGGACTTACCCCCACGAACGTACACAACTACGGAGTACCACCTACTGTATTCCATATAAGAAAAGTTGCCTGTTACTCCAGCTTCGAGTCTCCTCACCTTGTTCTTACCTAGAGTAGTCAATTAGGGATAGTGTTTCCTCCCCTCTAATTATAATAGGCTTTTGGAGTATACAACCTACATATTTTTTATACTACACTATCTTTTATAAAAATTAGAGCCCTAGGAAGGACCTGGAAGGTACTTTAGCATCTAGATAGATACTGATAAATAGAATTATATATAAAAAAAAAATATCAACAGACTACAAGATATCTAGCCAGCAAATACACTAGATTTTATTAATAAAGGAAGGTTGATTTGGAGACACAATCCCATACCAGAGACCCTAGATAGTAACCTATACCGGAGTCAGTCCCAAACGGGGAGGGTATTTCACAGATCAGTCGCTGTGGCTGATCAGACCTTCCCTTAGCTTAGAATATTCTTAATAATTCAGAGCCATATTAATAATTGACTCGGCTTCTTGAGAGCGCGAGGACCGACAGCCATCCCCTCCGTGGGTAGCCGATGGCCGGTGACGACTATTGGAAAGCTCGGAAAATCGATGCGTCGTGTATTGGTCTTACCAGGTGGCCTGTCTTTAGAGATTGATTCTTTTGTTATATCCTATAAAGACTGGATCAGGGAGTTCTTGATTGAATAACTACCACGGCGGACCATTTTTTTATCACTATCAGCTTCTACCCGAGCCCTAATTCCTTTGGTTACTGTTACACGTGTCGCAAGGAGACTATGGTATCCGGAGCTTTTGTACTATGAACTATCACCTCCAGATTATGATTCCATTGGCGAGATATGGAGGAATATCATATGCATTGAACTGGAATGCTCTTCCTCGGGCCAAAACAGGCAGAAGACGCATGGAAATAAAGCGAGTACTTGATTTCAGCATTTGTAGACCAAATGTAGCGTCAAAGTATACCCACAATTGAATCCCCCACAAGTCAAAGGCATTTTGAGAAACGGCATAGTATCTCACCAAGGGCGAAGGACAGGAATCCCGCCCAACAAAAAGGAAGAAAAAGGGTAAAAAGAAAAACTCCAGAGAATTAACCAACGCAAGGTGGTTACATCATTATTTCCCATCCTCCTGAGGGTTCAAAACCAGCTTCTTCGGGCTCCGTCCGTTGATTATATCTTCACAGGCATTCTGGATGCCAGACAACCCACCAACCCGCTTTTCCAGAGGAGTCGGAGTCACTCCCCCGGCGAGGGCGACGGGAAGATATTCCTCATACCACCATTTGGAGAAAGCCGCATTTTCGGGTTTCTGAGTGGCCATGCTGTAGTAATCATAAAGAAGTTCGACGTTCTCCGCCAGCTGCATCTCCTCGCTCCGCGGGCGCGTCGACACAAACACCCCACCCCCTGGTTGAAGGATCTCACTGATTGCATGTGCACCAGCCACGTCGCCAGATGCCGTCATGACAAACTTGTAAGGTCCAAGGGCTTTTAATTTCGAGACAGCCTGTTCATCTCTATAATCGACCACTTCGGTTGCGCCAAGGCTACGTACGTAGTCGAACTTTCCCGGTGAGGCCGTTGCTACAACATCATACCCAACCTGGGGAAGATTGTTATTTCTTATCAAAGAAAAAAAAGTCCATCCATCGGATTCTACTCACGCTAGAGGCATATTGAACGGCGTATCCCCCAACGGAGCCGCTCGCGCTCCAGATCAGAACCCTCCCCTCTTGATGGCTGCCAGGCCTTTCCATGCCAAGTCTCAGGTTCAGAGCTGCCACGGCCGTCAGGAGAGCAAAAGGAATCGCGGCAGCATCCTCAAATGTCGTTGCAGCTGGGATCTTGGATGTTGTTGCTTCCGTACTCACAACATACTTCTGCCAGCCGCCATATTTGGCTATCTTCTGGTGATATGCGGGAGTGTCGGAGACGACACGGTCGCCCTTTTTAAATTTAGTAACGGAGGACCCAACCTCCTCAACCACACCTGCTACGCCATTGCCCAAGATGAAAGGGTAAGGGAGGTCGAGATAGGCACGGCCACGGATATTGGCGTCCAAGGGTTGTATCGCGACAGCATAGTTCTATCACAAGTTCAACAATCGTTAGACCAGTGCACCCAAAATGAACTCCACACAGTATAGCACCACCCGCGTCGCCCGCGTAAGACGTATATCGGACAGACCTTGATCACAAGTTCATTCCCCGAGGGGGGTGAATAAGGTGCGGCGGAAGGTTTCAAGTCTCCCTTTGGCTCCAAGCTCCAAGCGGCTCTATTGACAGACTCCATGATACTCCTATATGGAACGGATACAGCGATGTATCTGAAATTTGAGGTCAAAACTTACTGGGCATAAAGGAGTTATGGCAGGATGGTGACAAAGCTGGTACTATTTGATACAAACGCCATTTATAGAACCAGCCATGAATGACATCAAGAACTTGTCAACAACGTCATGAGAGAAGAGATGAAAAAAGTCACCAATCAATATAATTCAAGTGGGGAGGTAAGCAATCCGTCATGCTTTACCAAGCATTAGTAAGTTGGGTTCATCCAGTGAATCAAAGTACATGATATAGCACTGCTGAAATCACCAAACTCATAGTGGGCCCAGCAACCTTCCTTGGTTACAACACCTGTCTAGGCCATAGTAAGCTTTCTTTGCCTTCCAATAAGAGGATGATTCCACCCCCACCTCCATATGTATCAACTCCACAATTAATAGAGTGAGTATCAATCTGCCTTCTAGAACTAAATAGGCAAAAGATATCATTTCTAAGAAAAGAGGGGTAGATTCAAGCTTAGAGAGAAATCCATATCGTAGACTTGCCCCAGATACCAAAAGAGGGGCAAAAAGAAAAGAGTTTGTAAGACCAATGCTAAGGACTTGTAATGCACAGTGGACTATTGCGGCCACTGGGTAGTCCATTTACCGCTTCCACAACCGCTTCCCTTAGTAGATCACTACCGAGTATACTAGGTAGAATCGCTTATTACTTCTGTTGATTCTCGTATATAACTTTTCAGAGTATCTAGAATCTGTTTTATTTAACCGGTGCGATGAGCTGTTTAAAAACAGTCCGTACATGCTTCGGAAAATCGGCGCCGGTGATCCGAGATCCCGGGGGATAGTGGGCTGACATGTAGTCCCCCCACGGCGAATCCCGTGACTTGATCCCATCACATGACCCCTCGAAAGACGAGGACCCGGAGAGCCTGATTATCCGAGATTTCCCACGCTAGGGCCGATACGGCAAAAGTGCGCCGCACGTGATCACACAACCGATTTTAACGCACTAAGACGCTGCCGTCTACATAATTTCGACACGATCGCAAGGTTGAGGAAGACAAGTCTTGTCGAGGTGAGTGAAGACCCTGTACCCTGCGAGGATGGATATGGGATGGCAGTCGCTTGAGTCGCTTTGGTCTCTCTTTCTTTTCCCGCGGCACTTCTTCTGGCTCAGCTGCGCAAAGGAAGAGAAATGAGGCAAAAATGACACTTGCGCCGATGCATCCCAGCGTTCATCCAGCGCAACGTTTATCTATCTCAAAGATGCAGGGTTAGACTAACATTCGCATGATACCAGGCCTTCATCAAGATGCAGATCTTCGTCAAGACCCTTACGGGTAAGACTATCACCCTTGAGGTGGAGTCCTCGGACACCATTGACAATGTCAAGTCCAAGATCCAGGGTAAGGATTTTTCTTCTCTTTCTCTCTCGCTACTGAAATACCAAGTGGCCGACACTAACTGTTCAACGTACAGACAAGGAGGGAATCCCCCCTGACCAGCAGCGTCTGATCTTCGCTGGCAAGCAGCTCGAGGACGGCCGTACTCTTTCTGACTACAACATCCAGAAGGAGTCCACCCTTCACCTCGTGCTCCGCCTGCGTGGTGGTGGTAAGAAGCGTAAGAAGAAGGTCTACACCACCCCCAAGAAGATCAAGCACAAGCGCAAGAAGACCAAGCTTGCCGTCCTCAAGTACTACAAGGTCGACGGTGATGGCAAGATCGAGCGTCTCCGCCGCGAGTGCCCCGCCCCCGAGGTACGTTTTTCTTTTTGGATACCCATCTGTTGGCTTCTGTGTGGCAAAGTGACTAATAACTCTATAGTGTGGTGCCGGTGTCTTCATGGCTGCTATGCACAACCGCCAGTACTGTGGCAAGTGCCACCTCACCTACGTCTTCGACGAGTCCAAGTAAGCGATCCAATCGTGGATTGCTCCGCCTCTCTTGTTACCGGGGATGCAATAGGGTTTTGATCTAGGGCAATTTCGGTGGATTTAGATTGGTGGATCTTAGGTTGAGGAGCCTTGAAAATGAAATAAAAATTCGAAACACTCTCGTGCCTTGGCTTGGATCTAAATCCAATGACTCGTAAAGTATATACATGCGCATTCAAAACCACGGCAAGAACATGCAAACTCGACAAGAAACAACACAAGGTTGAATGTGGGGGTATCTCAAACGTAGGCTCTTAAGCAAAACCGGCTCGCAGGTTGTCGTACTTGCTTTCTGGGTATTCAAGTGCGTTCGGAGTCTGATCCAAGGCGGCCGGTCCTCCAACACCCTCGACGAAGGTTCCAATCAGGCTACCATCGGCTTTGTTGGCAGTCTTGCCTCCTTTGTCAGCGCTAGTCTCCCACCACATACCACCCGCTAGTCCATGATGCCGGATGAAAGCCGCTTTGGTCTCACTCATGCGCACGTTGTCGTACGAGATCATCGTGCGGGTTGCCGGGTCATAGCTCCACGATGCACCGATGCTGGGATCAACATATTCCGTTGCACCTGGCCTAGGAAGTGCCTTGTAGTCCCAAACCCCGTTCTCCCAGCTTCCTTCACCTACGCCGGAGAAACTCGTACCAGGACCGTCGGTATTGGTGAACGCACGTCCATATATGGGCATACCAACAACTATCTTCGAGCGCGGCACAAGACCCGCCGTCTCATAATATGTAAGTGCGTCGACCGTTGAGAACGGGGTCGAGCCTGGCCTGTCAGGAGAAGGGTAGATATTGGCTTGATGGCCCGCAAGACTGTCCCAGCTGCCAGCATAGTCATAAGCCATTAAGTTGTAGAAATCCAGATAGGGTGTCATTTCACGAAGCCTGAGCTTTGAGTAATGTTCCTTGCCTGCTGGACAAGCAATGGTCAAATAGAACTTCCGATATGGGCCCGCTGCCCTGTCCAGGGTCTACACCGTGTCAGCACCGAGAAAGGGCAAAGATAAAGACATCAACTCACTTCACGACACTTCTGCAAAAGTAGCACAAAGTTATATGCCTCGTTATCATCTACGTGGCCGGTTAGCAAGTGTCTGCGACCGTCTTCCTGCATTTACTTACCCTTCGGATATTCCCAATCGATATCAAACCCTTTCGATTGTCCGTTAATAAATGACGACGAACTCTTAGATAAATCTATCGATGCAACTTACCATCAAGACCAAGGTCCAACACCAGCCTTGTGGCCGTTTCAGCGAACATCGTGCGTCCGGCCTCCGTGCTTGCCGGCTGGGCAAAATTGGCAGAGTAGGTCCACCCTCCGATAGACAGCAGAACCTTCAATTGCCTATTCTGCTTCTTGAGCAAGAATAGCTGCTTAATGCATCCATAGACATTAGTACCGACGTCGTTCCATGAGTCCGTTGGATAGTGCTTCTCGATGTCGGACCAGGTGTCTGTCAGGTACACTTCTCCAGACTCGGGGCGGACGTTGGCGAATGCATAGAGGACATGGGTCAATTTATCTGCGGGGAGATCCTGGGGGTTGTGATTGCGCCCGTAGATCGCCTGGATCAATTAATACCTCTTGAAGGAAGCTCATTCTAGACGCCAACGTACCCAATTGACGAAATATGCCACAGATTTTAGACCGGAAGACATGGCTGGAGGGGTAGATGAGATCAGAACTGGAGTATCACCAAGGTATCGAGAAAGAAAAAGAGCGAGAAGAATGCCAAGAAATGCAAGACAGTGGATAAGTTGAGAAGATGTCATACTCACCGAGATATAGTTGGTATTTAAATTGAGAGCTCCTCCTGAAAATACACTGCAGCCTGATGGGGGTTGTACCTGCCTTAGGATCGACTTATGACGCGGGCCGGACACCCAAAATAACAACAGGGCTGAGAATTTATTGGCTCACAGACCCAGGGTTTACTTGCGGCGGTGCAGGGGTGTGGGGTGTGGCGAGTGAGATGGTTGTGGCTGACGAGCTGTCACTGACTGTGGCTAATGTAACTAACTGAAGGATGACACGAGATGAGTAAGACAGTTTGAAAGAAATCTAACGACATTATATAGATTCGAATCCAGTCTATTACACTTACTCAGGGCACCAGTTTGTACAACCGTTTGAAACCAACACAAAACCTTTGGTGGCGTAGTCATTCTCTGCCTGACCTGTTACCTTCTCTACTGAAACTTCCCTGTTCCTGGTTCTTTATGTCCAGGTGACTGCGGCATTCCCTTGTCACTCCGCACGCGGCTCCCTTGCCATATAGCAGAGTTGTATGGGGATGGTTCATCCCAAGTACTGACACGATCTCATATGATGAGGATCTGAGTCGTGTAAGCTGTCAGAAGGACAGATCGATATCACGGAAAGGTTTCCGTTTTTTCGACGACTAGGATATTTCCTTGTGGCTCTTGAATCCCTGGTTAGTGAAGAGTGAACTACTTGGACAACCGAAAGTCCGGTGATAGTCAAGGAATGTGGTCGAATGTCATCTCGCCTATCTTGGTTGGCCGTAGGGGATATCATGGGAATTCAGGTTACAATCTCTTCAGGCTACGATGACCATAGGTGGTATTAGAGCCACGACGGTGGTCTGTAACGTAGCGCGGCTTAATAGATAGTTCATCGCATGCGACGAAGAACTAACCGATTTCCGAGGGTGAGAACATGTCACATCTCAAACTATATCTACCAAAGAGGGTCAGTGCACATGATCTATCCACTTTGGGTTGGACTATGATGCTAATATGCTTTGAACTGTCGGTTCGAATTGTGTACATATCCTACATTCATCCAGACCAATCAATTTGAACAGCAGTACTGTCATAAATCCAGTCAAAGATACTTCGCAGTCCGTCTTGTTCTCAGTGTCCACCAACTACATAAGCCTGAACGTAGCAAGGTGGAAGGAAGATACAGATTCAACAGCATTCGTGACTTGGAGTCACGAACCTTGGGTTTCTAGAAAAGGTAAAAAGATGTTGAGATGTTGAGTAAAAATTCCTTGCGTAGGAGAACTCCGACTCAGGTCGAGTTCACAGTAAACGAAGCAAATCCCGAGACATCGGCAACCCAAAGGAGTTAGTTTTTTTTTTTTAAAAAAAAAAAAAAAAAGACAGTCGTGTAAATCGCCTTGCATCAGACAGACGACAACATCACACGCGCTTCATAGCCAAGGACGATCTCTAATGTCAAACCGGCTGTTTGGAGCAAGCGTACATGGTACAGACAGTTGAACCTTAGTACGAAGGAACAAAGACCTACCTTATCTGGGTTTCACTGTGGATCCCTTTTGTTACCTCCTCAGCTGAACTGTGACGCAGGTCGCCAATCTGGGAATTTGATTGGCACCCGCGGGATTAAACTACTGCAGGGCTTCTCTGCACGGCCACATTCCGATTCCACCGACCACCTAAGGATTGGGAGGGGGAAAAAAAAGAAATTTTCTTGAATGAAAAGTCTGTCTCAACTCTCAACTGCCGTGCATTTTGTGCTAAACTTAGTCTTGCTTTGGGCCCTTCCTTGACTCCACGCAGCTTTCAGCTGGGATGTCCTCGACTAATCGACGCTAGAAGGGATTGTGCATAAACCGTCCATGTGGTTCGGTATCTCCGATGCACTGATCGGTGTTAAGACTTTACCCAGGGAGGAAGGAGAGTACCTTAAGACAGGATTATCAGAGCATTCTACTGGTATATCCATGTTGGACCAGGAATACTCCTGGACATCCTACTACCTACTAGTAGTAGTACCTACTAGTATAGCATCCAAAAAAAAAAAAAAAAATTATAATATCGAAAATAAATGAATGGCCAGATTGGATGAAGTTTTCGTCCAATGGCATTGTGTATCGATTGAATGTTTTTCACAATCCATTTCATTTCATTTTCATTTTGTTTTTATTTTATTTTTCCCGCGTCCTTACGAGCCGGGTTAAAATCCAAGTTGGAATTTCCCCCCACTCGTACCCGTGGGCTCCACAGTGCCAATCGGGTCAAAACGCTTGACAGAAAACGACGAGACATTGGACAAGACCAAAGCAAGATACGACTATGTACTAACTACAAGCCGAAGTAGCCTGCTTACTTAACAAAATGACCATAATGGAATAGTGTCAAACAGGTAAACCTTCCGTTATTCATATCTCATTCATCTTTTTATCTGTTCAAACAACCAAAGCCCACTTGATCTATCGGCCGAAATTAATCAATCTAATGGGGAATCGCATTCCCGTCTCTGACTGGTACAGATGTGGTTGCACTTATATAGCCCGAAAGTCGAGATCCATGGAACCCGTAAAAAGACCCAACAACAAGAGAGAGGGGTAAGAAACGAAAAGAAAAAAAAAACAAAAGAAAAGTAAAGGTATTAAAGGTAGAAAAGAACAAAAGACAGTCGACAATGTCCAACGTCTAACATAGGCAATCACTCGTGGGGATATCATAACCATCAACAGCATCATAGTAAAAACAGGTCCCACTAAAAAGAGTGTGTGGGAGGGTACTTTTTTTTCAGTTTGGTGGAAGAGGGGCAGCTTCTTCCCTAGGCGCAATTAAGCGACCTGCGCTTAATTACCTGTCATGCCACCACATGAATCGTGATTTGCTCTCGGCAAACATGCTGGCGTGCTTCATGGATGGGATTGAATCCAATTGCGCATTACCGATAGAGATGGATCGTCATTAAGCCAATGGCCTGCGCGCATATCGGCTGCCCGAAGATCAGCCACAACGTATTCATCTGTCACCTGAGCGAGCTCCTGTTCAATGCCACAACGTCAGTCTAAAGAGCTCTGTGGTGGTTTGCGTAGAAAAGAACTGACCTGTCGAAATGTATCGTCGACGAGCTCCAAACGACGAGCATGTGTCGGGTCGGGTCTCTGTCCTCGTAGCACATTTTCCCGATTGATAGACCATCTTCTCCCTGCTGCCGCGCGGAGGTAAATCTTATGGGCTCGGAAGCGACGGGCGCCTGCATCGAGTATGACCCTATTATGGTGTTAGATCGGTGAAAACATACTGTATAGACCGGAGTAAATCGATCGATACATACCGTTGAAGTTCTGCCTTTTCTGTTTCCGCGTCATTCCCCCCGGCTGGAACGACAGGGGTATAGTTAGATGACATTAGGGCTTGCGCGGCAGCCAAACTCTCGCGGATCACCACATAGCCTGGCAGGCCGCAATCCTCTGCGCGCACGGGGATATCTTGTTGGGAGATGTGCACCAGGAGGGTTCGGTAGTCGTTGATGATCTCAGCCACTCTGAGGGCACGTGCCTGGTTAACTTCATGCATCTTCATTAGTATCGCATCACTTTGCAAACTAATGGAAATCCCGGGTCAGGATTGAAGATGAATTGCTTACGTCCGTCTGCCATGGCTACTTTCTCTTAGAAGCGATTCTAGGGAATGGACGACTAGGGACCGAAGAGTAACAGCCCAAGTAGGTCAAAGGAAAGATAAAGTGGATAGTAGCGCAGTTGATATACTAATACGGCGAAGCCAAGCTAAGTCTCTGGGAAAGAGTGGCTGTTCTATAATCGTGTTCCATCATTGAGGGTGAGATATGCCTTTTAAATTCGATCTTCATGGCCACCGATGACAGCTTTCTGGTCCATCCCCGCCCAGCCAAGGAGGAAGAGCTTTACTCGGAGAGATCATCATGAACAGTGGCTGGCTGCAAAAATGACTGTTGCTGCTGAGGAGAGGATACGGATATCACAGCTCGGGACCACAGCTGGGCAATGACAAGTTGAGGTGGAGCCCATAGTAGGTAGAAGCCCCATCCGAGGCCATGTGCCTAAGGGACTTTAGTCCTCTGATTTCAAGGAGCGCGAACGCTAAGCAGCTGGTACGTCAAAGAGGATCCAAGACTGGGTCTGCATGAGCATAGTAAGGGAGAAAAAAAAAAAAAAAAAA